CTGAAGCATCGACTCTGAGATGAGCAATGAACCTCCACCTTCTGCAGGAGTTGAATTGGCCTGGAAAGGGAAAGTATCTACTCTATAAACAGCCACGCTTCTAAGTATGTTTGCAAAGCTCATTTAGAGGAATTAGATAGCTTAGCTTAATTTGCCCTGCAGAATAACAGCTACTGAAACTTAGCACTAACAGAAGCAGGATTTAGCACGCTGAGTGCTAAAGGAGTGCTAGGAGTGCGTCCCAAGCACAAATACAGGCTGAGGGAGACTGGATGGAGCAGCCCTGAGGAGAAGGACTTGGGGGTGTTGATCCATGAGAAGCTCCCCATGACCTGGCTTCAGTGTGCGCTTGAGCCCAGAGCCCCCCCGTGTGCTGGGCTGCACCCCCAGAGCGTGAGCAGCAGCTCAGGGAGGGGATCCTGCCCCTCTGCTGCGCTCTGGGGAGACCCCCCCTGCAGTCCTGATCCAGCTCTGGGGCAGCAGCACAAGAGGGACGTGGAGCTGCTGGAGCGAGTGCAGGGGAGGCCACAGAGATGTTGCGAGGGCTGGAGCAGCTCTGCTCTGGAGCCAGGCTGAGAGAGCTGGGCTGGGTCAGCCTGGAGAAGAGAAGGCTCCTGAAGGGGAGACCTGAGAGCAGCTCCAGTGCCTAAAGGGGCTGCAGGAAAGCTGGAGAGGGGCTTTGGACAAGGGCTTGTAGGGCCAGGCCAAGGGGAATGGCTTTAACCTGCCAGAGGGGAGACTGAGATGAGCTCTTAGGCAGAAGCTCTTCCCTGTGAGGGTGCTGAGGCGCTGGCACAGGGTGCCCAGAGAAGCTGTGGCTGCCCCATCCCTGGCAGTGTTCAAGGCCAGGTTGGACACAGGGGCTTGGAGCAAGCTGCTCTAGTGGAAGGGGTCCCTGCCCGTGGCAGGGGTTGGAACTGGATGAGCTTTAAGGTCCCTTCCAACACAAACCAGTCTGGGATTCTATGAAAGCCTGAAGATACATTATTTATTCATGAAATCTTATGGCAGAAAGCACTGTGGACTGTTACGTCCTACAGAAAGTGTAATTTCCAGAATTTGGGAACTTGCAGACTTTGCTATAACAGTCATTCTTCATAAGAAGGAACCTAGGTACTATCAAAGTCTTTCCATGCTGAACATCTCTGAGGCTCAGATGACCATCGAGGGATAACCAGGTAAAGTCACACAGAAAAACATCCTCACTGTGGCAGTGACCGAGCACGATGAACCGCCACAGAATAAGAACTCACAGCCTGTGTGCAATGAGCCTTTATATGTCACCTCACCTATCAAGGGTTTTCATGGCATTTGTTAAGTCTTGAGACAAAAGAGTCTGAAATTTAACAGTAACTTGTTCCTGGGCTCATTAGGCTTTAGCTGTTGTCTTCCACTACTTTGGCTACACTTGATAGCAAACAATTTGAGTATTATGTGATTCAAGAAGCATTTTTACCACAAAGGAATATATCCAGTCAAGGACATTGGATAAGAGCCCTGCTTCTTAACAAAGGATCAAGCATTTATAATCTGGCTGGAAAACTGTGTGGGGTACGTGGAGAAGCACACGGCACCACAGGAAGTGAATGTTTTTAACCTAAGAAGATACTGCTTGTCTTTCAGCTACACAATGAAATACCTGAAGTTTAGCAGTTTGAGATGGATTTTCTGCTTACACAAGTCAGAAATGGGTTCAGAGCAAACGAGAATCAGAAGCAGTTAATAGGTTTGTATTGATTGCTATGTTTTTATTTGTCATTCTGCTCTTGCTTTATCTTTTTGCTGGGTAGAAATGTACTCTCTAGCAACCACTGAAGAGAACTGATAGAGAAGACCGACGTCCTGGTCCTTTGGCACTGAATGACCTTGGGCATGTCACTTCATCATTTGTATCTCTGTGTTCCTCTGACTGGGACATAGGTGTTTGAGGTAATGTGCATATCAAAAGTGCCTGGCTTGGTTGCAAAGGACTCCAGTAGACTGATTAACACTACTGAGTAGTAACAAATCATTCTGTGCTAAGCTCTGGTTTGATGTTTTGATTACTGCTGCTGCATTAGTCAGTTTAATCAAAGTTGGGTTTTTCTATGCCAGATAGCATAGTCAACTCTGAGTACCCCACTGATAGACAGTGCTCTTAATACAAGAATATTATTTATGTGAACATTCAAATTGCTTGAAGTTATGCACAGAATAACTCCTTTTTCCATTTTGGAATTGCTGGTGAGAGCTGTGAACCAGACATGAGTTTATTTGCCAGTCATAGAATCATAGAATCATAGAATCATAGAATCATAGAATAGTTTGGGTTGGAAAGGACCCCAAGATCATCCAGTTCCAACCCCCCTGCCATGGGCAGGGACACCTCACCCTAAACCATCTCACCCAAGGCCTCATCCAACCTGGTCTTGAACACTGCCAGGGATGGAGCATTCACAACCTCCCTGGGCAACCCATTCCAGTCGTTACCAAATGATTCTTAACTGCAAATTCGTTGTAGCCTTTTCTAACATTAACTTCTAATCCTTTTTTCATTGAGCCATGTCCTTGAAAGAGCTCTCAGATAGGTTTGATGGTCCATAGGGAAAAACTTCTGACAGATAGATAGCTCTGGCCTGCAGCAAACAGTCTTTCATTCCCACCTATTATAAGGGAGCCATAAATTCTGGGGTACCACAGTCCTGCTCTTTTTACAGTGAATGAACCTTACAGACACAACAAAATGACCCAAAGCAACTCTGCCCATTTGTTCTTTTTCCCCTCCTAAAACCTATGCATAAGTTAAGAGTGTTCTGTAATTTCAAGTCATACAAAGCAATCATAAAAACCCTTGGTAGAAAATAGCAGTTGTGAAAACCTTCATTCCTAAATATAAATCTTTCTGTTGAGCAAGACGAGTATATTCTCAGAACCCTCTCAACAGAGGACAAATACATTACAAAAGCTGCTTCTGATTTGGAGATGTGCATTTCCACAACAGTTACCAAGTGAACAAATACGATTTGACCCCCTAAAACCATTCCCAGTGGAGAAAAGAGAAGAAATTCAGTATGCTCAGTTTGTGATGCTCACACAGTATCAAGGCAGATAGATGCACAGCCCATTTATTCCCTTAAAAACATACTGTTACCAGGATGTTGAATTCTTAATAGTGCCCCCTCATAGAAACCAGTTTAACATCTATAAATACAGGCATAAACATCACGTCACATACCTCAAGAGAACAGCTCCTGTGTCCTTGATATATTTTCAAGCAATTTTTATTTGGTAGTAAAGTGGCTATCAGCCAATGCTTCAGCAATATCTTAAGCCCCAAGGAAGGCAGATACTGCTGAAATGTTGGCTGATAGACACTTTACATCCAAATAAAAAAGGCTTGAAAATACATCAAGGACATATGAGCAGTTCTGTTGATGCAACCAACATGATGTTTGCATCGATTCAGAGAGATGAAATACGTCAAGTGACACAGGCTGCAATAATCTGTTGTGATCATTGTGGAAGCACTTTGGGACACACTTCTTGCAAGGGGAGGGGAAGGATGCGGTGTCACTTCAGTACAAATAGGCCATCCTTCCTTGAGCCAAGCAGATGAGGGACTTGGAAGGGGAGGGAAGAAAAGATTTCCCCACTTATCATGGTTATTATTAGTTGTGTGTTGCCAGTGTAAGAAGTCCCACCAAGAGACTGCGGCTTCATTGTATAATGAGGCCAGATGGTAGGAGAGACAGAACAACGTATATTCAGTGAATCATGGAATCAGCCAGATTGGAAAAGCCCTTTAAGCTCATCCAGTCCAACCTTACCCCAGCACTGCCAAGGCCACCACTGCCCCATGGCACTGAGGACCTCATCTCCATGGTGTGTGAACACTTGCAGGGACGGTGACTGCAGCCCTGCCCTGGGCAGCCTGTTCCAATGCCTGAGCACCCTCTGGGGCAGGAATTGTTCCTCAGCTCCATCTAAACCTGCCCTGGGGCAGCTTGAGGCCGTTTCCTCTTGTCCCATCCCTTGTTCCTTGGGAGCAGAGCCCAGCCCCTCCTGGCTCCATCCTCCTCTCAGGCAGGTGTTGAGCAATAATATTCAATATTCCAGGTGTATAAAGATATTTCTAGCCTCATTCTTAGGCTAGAGAAATTCAGAGATATGCCTGAATGCAGAATGCAATCCTTATTCCTAACATTATGCACTAATGAACAACCTTTTCTGCTTTCAGACAGCTTTCCAGCACGCACTTCTGCACTTCTATCCATCGAGACAGGCCATGGGATCTGCAGCGAGGATTTGATGCACAGAACAGCTAGATCCAGATGCAATTGATACTATAGCCTGAAAAGAAAATGTATTATATGTTATTAACATTGTATATCTCTTGGAGATAAAATTACATGCCCTAAGTGGCAATGCTAATGGAAATTTTACACTCTTACTGTGAGGAAAAGCATTCAAGGCCAGGTTTGACAGGGCTTGGAGCAAGCTGCTCTAGTGGAAGGTGCCCCTGCCCGTGGAACGGGTTGGAGGTGGATGAGCTTTAAGGTCCCTTCCAACCCAAACCAGTCTGGGGTTCTGTAAGGCACAGCTGAGGCCCTGGAGCTCCAGCAGGGACCCGGGGCACTCACCCCACACGGTGTCACTGGCCCTGCTGAGACAGGGCAGGAGCACAGCGGGACGCGCAGAGCAGGGGAGGGGGGGTCCCGAAAGCCGCTTCAGAGCGGGGCTGTGCCCCGGGAGGATCATGAGGAGCTACGCTCGTCATGGCGAGGACTACATTACCCAGAGGGCTTTGCGCCGTGAGCCGAAGCCCAACCCCGCCCTCCCGCCGCGAAGCATCATGGGAGTTGTAGTCCGAGCTCGCCTCAAGTTCACGGGAAAAGTTTCCGCTCCCTGTCGGGGACCTCGGCGCTCTTCAGCGGGGGTGCGTGGTTTCCACGGCTACGGCTCCGCAGCCAATAGAAACCAGCGTTCTTCGGGCGGAGGGTGGGGCGAGGCGAGCTTCGGACCAATAAGGGTTGGCGGTGTTGGTGGGTATCCTGGCAGCGGGGACGGTGAGTCTCCTTGGGGCCGTCCCTGCCCGCGGCCTGCTGTCGCCGGGCGAAGATGGGCGGCAGTGGGAGCAGCACCCGGCGGGTCACCTTCGAGGCGGATGAGAATGAGAACATCACGGTGGTGAAGGGCGTGAGGGTGAGAGCGGCGCTCCCCCGGGCGGGGGCTCTCAGGGGGGGCCGGGTTCCTTCGGCCTCCTTGGTCCTTCTCTCAGTTCTTAGCGCCTCAGCGCTGTTGGCTCCTGTACCTGCAGCCTCGTCCCCTCACGCCTCGAGGTTCCGCTCCCCCGTTTCCATTCCCTCTCCCGCAGGGACCTCCACTCCTGCCCGCCTCTCGGGTTGGGTGTTTTAGGGCAGCTGAGGGGCACTCTCGGGGGGTCTGTCATGGCAAGAAGCCCACTGTGCGTAGGGAGCTGCGGTAGGGGAGCCTTGGTCCCGGCCGCGTTACCAAAGACAGGCGGCAGAACGGTTATAGGAGGCATATGTAACTGTAAGACCTTATTTTGTCTTTCCCTGACCTCTACATGTGAGAGCTCTTTCCTCTCCCATATTCTGCTCTCGGACACGCCGTGTATCCACTTCCTGTGTACCTGCGGGAGCATTCCTGTCTATTTATGGGATGCTGTGCTTATAATATCGTAGAACCATAGAACGGTTTGGGTTGGAAAGGACCTTAAGATCATCCAGTTCCAACCGCCCTGCCACGGGCAGGGACACTTCACACTAAACCATGTCACCCAAGGCTCTGTCTGATACCAGGAGACAGCTTGTGCCATGCTCAGTCTTGCAGTTTGGAAGCTTTTCAGTGAAAGACACTGTTAATTCATACCAGCAGTCGTAATAAGTTATCTTTTATTGCTGCTTGTAGAGAGGAGTGTTGCAGAATGGTCACTGCTGCTTGTTTCAGTATCCTGAGATTTGTTCTGGTCACTTAATGCTCTTGGGCAAATAAGTGACAGGAATATCAGTGCTCACAGCAGAGTTCAGCTGCTCTGACATAGTTATATACTGGGAAGGACTCTGGGAATTCTTGTAAGCTATCCCTGGAATAAAACCTGAATGGTATCATGTGTACTAGGCTCATGTAGCTGCATTAAATAACTACTGTTAATCAATAAAGCTGTTAATCAACAAAGCAGCCAAAAGTGGGATGTACACAACTGTTTACAGTTAAAACTAGCTGTGAAGTTAACTTGAGAGTTTTAAGGGTTGGGTTAAGAAAGCTTACACTGAAGAACATTTACACTTGTGCATTTTAGGCTGTGTTAGGTGCGAGATTTTGGCCCAGTCATTGTCACATGGATTTCTGCCAGTGAGAGGTTTAATAAAGAATTTCCTCATTAAAATTCATTCTCCTGGGCAATAAAAGGGTATTTTGATAGAGTTGGTGCTGGAGGAAGCCAACAGCAAGTTTTACATTGGAAAACAAAAGCTTTCATGTTGTTATTTCTTTACCTTCTGTTAACTTTACCCATGGACTACAACTCATATGAAAGTGGGCATTGCTCTTACTCTCATTCTGCTTAGTTTTGGGCAGCGTATTTGTGCGTGCATGTGGCAACATGAGAATGAACGTAGTGACTTGCTGTGACCACTTGTGTCGCAAAAGGTTTTGGAGGGCTTTATCAGGATGAAGTTCCTCCAGGGTTAAATACAACTGCACAGTGTGAGGTTTGACTGTCAGCAGAATCACTGTGACAGGCAAAAGGCTGAATCATTGCCAGCAGCATGACAAAGGGTGCCGTTGCCTTTACTTTTCCTTGTGTCCTGTGTTCTGTTGTATCAGTTTCTTGTGTTCTGTGAGAGCCAAAATCATCTTGTTCAGTGAAATTGTTTGCACTCAGGGATGCTGTTCACTCTACAAATGAAGTGAAATAGTTCATTTTGCATTGTGCATAGAATTTTAGCATCTGTCATACGTAGTTCTGGAGCTTTATGTGCTCTTTTTGAAGTTTTACTTCATTTTGTGGGGGGAAAGAGGAGGGGAATGAGGATCAAGGAGCAGATGCAGCCTGACTCTGTTTGGGGTTATGTTTTGCAGCTCTCTGACAGTGTCATTGATCGTATGAAGGAACCTTCTTCACCCAGTGGAAGGCCACAGTCTCAGAACCGATCATCAGGTGCAGGTATACCCATGGGTTTCTGGTTTTGATGTGAGGAAGAAAATCAAATGTGCCTTTCAGAGCGTTATAGTGACTCAAAGAGATGATTTTTGACACTAACTTTTTTGGCTCATCTCCTTTTGAAGTAGTTTGTAGGTTTTTAGAGGAATTAAATTACTCTTTGTTTTCTTCTCCTCGACATTAAAGTGTAAAACACAATGTTAGACTTGGTTTTCTACTTGGTTTTCTTTCTATTATCCATTGCTAAAGACTTATAAAAAACAGGAAAAGCAAATACTAATTGCAAATATCTGTTGAGTTTTGAAGCGATAATTCTTTCTTAACACTGAATTTTAGTGTATTGAGCTTCTGTTGAAATAGACTTAAGCAAACATTGCAATATGCTGTTTTCCTATCATGAGGTAGTGGAAATAAGTTGCATACAGTTTATACAGAGATGGATTGAGATGATGGATTTCTGAACTCTTTATACATCATCATTGAGGCCTGGTCAAATGCATGACATGGGATTTGTGACAGGCACCCTCTACTCTAATTTGAAATACTTCAGCACAGTGAACACATTGTAGCTACTAAAAGAGTAAAAATGAATGGCAGAGATCAGAGCATATCTGAGTGATCAGCGTGATTTATGGTTGTTGATTGTGAAGCTGCAAGGTTCAAGTAGGGCTTCTTATCAGTGCTTCAGAAATACTAATGTTCTCAGTGTTCCTTAATGGCCTTTTGCCTTGATGCTTACAAAGAAATTCCTCCCAAAGTCAGCACTTCAGATGCTGCGAGGGCTGGAGCAGCTCAGCTCTGGAACCAGGCTGAGAGAGCTGGGCTGGGTCAGCCTGGAGAGGAGAAGTCTCCTGAAGGGGAGACCTTAGAGCAGCTCCAGTGCCTAAAGGGGCTGCAGGAAAGCTGGAGAGGGGCTTTGGACAAGGGCCTGTAGGGCCAGGCCAAGGGGAATGGCTTTAACCTGCCAGAGGGGAGACTGAGATGAGCTCTTAGGCAGAAGCTCTTCCCTGTGAGGGTGCTGAGGCGCTGGCGCAGGGTGCCCAGAGAAGCTGTGATGCCCCATCCCTGTCAGTGTTCAAGGCCAGGTTGGACACAGGGGCTTGGAGCAAGCTGCTCTAGTGGAAGGTGTCCCTGCCTGTGGTAGGGGTTGGAACTGGATGAGCTTTAAGGTCCCTTCCAACCCAAACCATTCTGTGATTTATATACAATAATACTTGCACATCTTGCCTACTTTAAAGGTGCTTGTTGCTTTTACATCCTTAAACTTGAGGTAGGGAAGTGGTCTTGTGAATGACCATCTGTTTCTGGGGCATGGTGGCTGGAGGTGAAGGATGTAATAACCAGTAATTCTTTGCTAATTCACATGTATGTATCTTGCTCCTTAATTTTGTTTCTCTTTGTGTTGGAAGTAGTGCTTTTTTTCATGCTTTTGGGTTTTATGTATTGAAAAGCTTAATCACTTGATGGCTTTGCAAGCTTGGGAAATCTTATGCATATTTTTGCTTTAAGAGCTAGTGATTTAGGTGAAGTGCTTGTATTTCCCCAGGAAAGTATAATCAATGTTATATCTCAGTTGCTAAAATGATTTGTATATAAGAGGATTAAATTATAGTTAACTGCATGTTCCCATACCATGCATTACTCTTTCATTGAATGATTTGTGATGAGGAATTACAAGCTGTTTAATTTCTTTGGTTCTGAAAAAACAGTCCAACCTGTTTGTTTCTTTTGTATCGACATCTACCTTTTTAGAGTGTTTGACTCATGAGGTGTCATGACTGGAAGGGCACTTGCTTCAAAGCAAGTACTCTGGTCTCTTAATAGTGAGCTACTCTGATGGCTTTGGGGGCTGGATCCCAAATCTGAGGGTCTTTTCTGTGATACAGGTGGTTCTTTTTGGTTTCTTGGTAAAGCTTCTTGCACTGTTCCTCCTGCCCCTCTACTTTGCTCTTTGGAGACTCCACTTGGAGCACTGTGTGCAATTCTGGTGTCCTCAACATAAGAAGGACATGGAGCTGTTGGAGCAAGTCCAGAGGAGGCCACGAGGATGATCAGGGCCTGGAGCACCTCCTGTATGGAGACAGGCTGAGAACATTGGGGCTGTTGAGCCTGGAGAAGAGAAGCTGCGTGGAGACCTCAGAGCAGCTTCCAGTATTTGAATGGGGCTACAAGGATGCTGGAGAGGTCCTTTCCAACCTGAAACATTGTTTGATACTATGGTAATGAGAGACCTCTCCCCAGACAGCTCTTCCTCTCCTGTGTATGACTTATATGACAGTGACTTGTTCCTGTGACAGAGCAGATCACTTGCTGCTCCTTGAGAGAATTATCCCTGGCTGGTGGTGTTTGGAGGTTGGCTCTGGCCAGGCAGTTGGTTTCCCTGCCTTTATATCTTTCTACATTGTAGACAAATAACACTTTTCTATGAAGATATATCTAAAGGGAGAAACATTAGAGCTATTAAAACCAGCCCTTTCTTTAAGTCAAGTCTTTGATAGCTTTTGGTGGAGGAATAATGGATTAGATTACATCAAAAGAATGTGGATCTTGTTGCTTGCCAATAGATGATGAATTTATTGACTTCAGTTTGGAGTTGGGAAATGAAATTACTTACACTTACAGTGAAATCTGACATCTAAACACTATGTCTTAAGGCATCCCAGCTTGCTTGCATCATTTTCTGACTTGTGAGTAATATTAAATGCACTAAAATATTTAACAGGTGTAAAAATCTTTAAAGTACGTCTCGAATTCCTAAAGCAGTATTGATGGGAAGTCATTTGCTCAGACGAGACTTGCTTTAGGTTTTGTTTTAGGTGTTGTTTGAGGTTTTTTTCTCTCGGAGTGTGTCTTATACCTAAAGCCTTGGTCATAATAGGGAAAGGGAATGAGAGCTGAAAAATTACCAAGAATCTCTGCAGCTCAGACAACCATTTTCCCTTTGCAGAGGCAGATTACACTGAGGCCACAGAGGATTTTTCTCTCTTGTCGTTTTTCTTTAACTGCTTTATTTGTTATTTTTATTATACTGTCCTCACAAAACCAATTAGTAAAGGACCATGTCATAAAACACTGTGTGTTGGGTGGGTGGGTAATAAAATGAGCACTGCTGCTGCGTCCCCAGGAATTGGGTTAGACCTTGCAGTGGGGAATAATGTGTTTTCTAAACTTTATTCATTCACTTGGAATGATGCCTGTTGTGTTGGTGACTCTGTCTTGGTTGAGTCTAATGATTTCTGTGTCTTGGTGGAGTTTTAAGTGTGGTAGTTCAGTTGGAAATCTATAAGGAAGTATTGTTCAGGTGTAGAGGAATGGGTATTTGAAGAATTAGGTTCTGGAGATCCAGCCCCGATGTATCTGAACTGTAGGAGAGCAAGCTTCTGCTTCTGAAGAGAGCACGTTGGTGGGATCCTGCAGGAGGCAGCTCTGAGGGGTAAGCTTGGCAAAGGTGAGGTCCTTAAGGACAACTTCTTCCCAGTACAAGAACAGTCCATTCCAGTATTCAGGATATCAGTAGATATATTGAGAGGCTGGTCTGGTTAACCATGATAGAGCCTCAGTGTAAAAATGAGGCCAAGCAGGAGATGGAAGCAGAGGGAGACCACAACACTGGTGGATTTGTGGATGAGAGGAGAGCAGTAAATGTCATCTACCTCTGCCTCATCAAGGTATTTAACACTGGCTCTGGATGTTGCAGTTTGGACATACCTGGATGACAAATCGTGTTAAAAACAAATCTGTTTGGTGGTCAGGGTGTGTCTAATGGGTCATAATCTACCTGGAGGCTGGTATCATGTGGTGGTCTGAAGGAGTTTGTCCTGTGTAGCAGCTCTATCAATGTCCTGGAGGAGGAGGAGGTAGATGGAGCACATCCTCTTCAGTGCAGATGACCACAAATTAGGGAGATTAAGCCAGTACATTTGAGGGCAGGGCTGTTCTCCCGGGGGACCTAGGCTGGCTGGAGGAATGAGCCAACAGGAACCTCATCAAGGACCATTCAAGGCCAGGTTGGACATGGGGGCTTGGAGCAACCTGCTCTAGTGGAAGGTGTCCCTGCCTGTGGCAGGGGTTGGAACTGGATGATCTTAAGATCCTTTCCAACCTAAACCATTCTATGACTCTGTTGTATAATACAGTAGCACACAGAGGAAGAGTTATTCCTGCATCCATGATGCTGCAGGGCTCACTCCTGCTCTCCTGTGGCTTGCTGTAGTACCACTTAGTTCTCACTGAGTTACTTGGAGTTAACTTCTATTTTCAGTGATGTGTCTTGATATTCTTTGGGTTAAAGGTTCACTATTGATTGAAGTACCTTATTATCAAAAGGTGAAACATCTTATTACTCACAGTCTGCTAAAGATGCCAAACTTTCAGTGCTGTCACTGCAACAGCAAATCTTTAGTTGAGCCTGACATTCATGTCACCAGCTTGCAGGAGTATAGGGAAGGTGGAATTATTCATAGGAGATGAATCAAGTATTGCATAAATTAAAGTTCTCACTGTCTGTGTGACATGCAAGTGTTCTGTGAGGGCTTTCAGGTGGCTGGGTATGCCATTGTAAAATGGTGCTGAAATTAGAAGGGGAAACTGGCAAATAATGCAATTTATCTGTTTTTGCTTTTAGTTCATAGAAATGTGGAGTTCAGGGCTGTGGAAGAGCTCAGTTCACTCTGCATCCTTGAAGTACAGTAGTAACCTCATTGAGAAGGTGGGGTGTGATTAAGAGGGTTGGGCAGACAGAAGGAGAATATTAAAATAGGCAAAAAGCCCTAAATTAATGGTTTAAAGACTTGGATTAACAATGGAAGAGATATGTAATTGTATGAGAACATCTAGAACCTTATGAACTCGCATCATGCTTGTGAACAGAACTTCAAGGTGCGAGTGCAAGCCTGGATGTGCCTGAGGTGCTCTCTCACTATATTCCCAACCTTTGTCCAATTCAGTAGTGTTTGAATTCTTCTCTGAAGTCTTGTCTTCAAGATGTCATCGAGACACTACCT